GATATTGACTGAAACTATTCTATATTATATTCTATACTAGTCTATATGAATGGATATGAATCCCGCTCCCACTTAAGCTGCCATTATAAGCACATTTTCCTCCATGTTTGTTTTAGCTACATGGCAGTTCAGAGAGTTTTCATTGTGATTTTTTTAAATACAAAGATTCATTTTAAGTCCTAATAATTAACCTAATGTTAACATCTTTGCTTTGTTTGTTATAATTAGTCATGACTTTGCATCTTAAAGTGGCGACACATCATTAATTAGCTATTATTATTAAAGATGAAGCTCATTATTTTAAAGCTTTGATATGCTTTCAGTAGTTTTGAATAAAAAAGGTTCAGCGTTTAATTAGTTTGACTGTATGGTTCCATTGGGTTTATCTGGACTTGTCATGGTCAGTGTCTTATTAGTCAGGAAATGACAACACAGAAAATAATGCATCTATACGAACAAACCCACATTATCACTATTCAGCTCCGGTGCATTCAGGAAACGGACTAATTGCTTTATTAACTCACTCTACTTAAGACAGGGCTATTTTCAAAGAACAGTTTCTACAAGATCCTGTTTGACAGGTGCTGATTCATTTCTTGTCTGTCATAGTGATGAAAAAGGAAACCATAAGAAATGGACAGCCTGTATTGCTCAAGGCCTAACATAATTGAAGATGGCTTGTTTTTGGATGCAGCAAATAGGGCTGAAAAAGTTGAGGTAATCCTTTAAGAGTAAGGAGTTAATTTTTAGCAAATTTCTGAGTGGTAATCAGAACAGGCCGTTTGTAGAACTAGAGCATAGCCTGTATGTTGTTGTAGGATGACAGGTGAGAGACTTAGCACTTTTTTTTATCAGTTTAAAGAAAATGGACAGCAAGATGATATGAATGCATTTTATGTCCAAGATTTTAACTGATTCATGGGATACTGGTATGGGTGCAATTTAAAAGCTACTAAAAATGTTGAACTAACAGCTTTAAAATAAAAATAAAAAAAATGAAAACCTCTGTACATATAAAGTATGCTGTAAAATGTTTTATTTTAGACTCGAATGTCATCCTGCTCACCGAGTATAAAACTGACATATTAACGTAATGAAAAATCCATGTGCCAATGTACAAAAAGCCTGCTCTAATGGGCCAGTACAGTCATAATAACGCAGATACATGCCTCAGTGCTGCCTCAAATGCAGTATCTGGCACCAGCAATTAAGCTAGTCAATGCCTTGATTCAATAATCTTAAATAATAATTTATTAGTCCCCAAAAATACGACTTATTTCTTCTTTCAGAAAGCACAGCCGCAGCAAAATTAAATATGGTCACTGTCAATAGCAACTACTGTTGACTGATTTCAGGTACAACCAGAGTGACTGCTGGCAGAGAGTGTAACATAAGTCAAAGCTAACAAAATGTGAATTATCAGTGTTTTAGCATTACACTTTTTCAAAGTTAAGACCTTTTAGACTGTTAAAAACACAAAGTGACATGCTGTGGTTAGCCAAGCAGTCGTTAGCTTAACAGACTTTAGCCAAGCTGTTGTTTACTGGGCTGTCGATAGCCTGGCTGTCCTTAGCAAGGCTGCTGCTAAATTTTATCTCACCTTGTATCTAAGCGCTCATGTTGTTTTAAGTTAGGATTCCTTCAGTATAGGCCTACTGTGCCGTGGATACAACAGAGGAATCATCACATCCATACAGGTTTAGTATACAGCTATGTTTTAGTACTCATTAGGGGGACCCTGTATCGGCCAAAATGTAGTCCTTGTATAAGAAACTAGAACGGGAAATGGCAGCGGAACACAACTATTTTTGAGTTTTGTGAGAGCTGTGTCCCTTGTGCTTAAATATACGCAGGAGTTATGCATTATCTTCCACTCCCAAAGTGCTGTGTCACTGGTACCATTCTGACCTTGTGTAGTTCACACCCTATCCCTCTGCGCTGTCAACAACGTATGACAAATGAAATGCTGCCGCTCTCGAACCACTTTAGATCCAGAGGAGTATATAAAAAATTATTCGTTGAAAACCTTCTTTCTTTGAAATAAGATAAGTAACAAGTGGAAATGTAAAGTTTTAGCAGAGATAAGATGACTTGCGATGCAGTTACTAAAAGGGTGCTCGGTATCTGTATGACCTTGGCTTTTCTAATGTACATTTATCAATGGTGGGGCTTACAGCACAAAATCAATTTACTTCTTTGTCAGAAAAGCTTTGCTTCATGTGCTTAAACCTTAACTGCTGACCTAACATAGCTTGTATTGTCTTTGTACTTCAAGCGGAACAGTCTTCACATGTGGTCACTTCCTTGTATTTGAATAAGAAGGGGCTTTAACTATGATTACAATCATTACCAGGGACATGTGTAACAAAGCAGTATGTTGTGTTCTATTTTCTATTATTGAAGTCGCAGCTTGGAATAAATAACCTCTTAAACAATTCACTGAGGGAATATGTGCAGTTAATAATACAAGATACAAGTAATCCAGTGTGTTTTAAAGCAAAGACAGCGAAAGAGTCAGCATGGGTTTGGGACCTACTTTAATGTGCAAAATTCTCCCCTGACTGAAAAACGACAAGTGAACTCATAATAATTCCAACCAGAAATCAAAAAAGAAGACGCGCAACAGATCCGGAGCTTTTAAAAAACATGAAAGGGAGTCCAAATCATTTTGAAGATAACATTTTGGCAACAAGTGTTAGTGATATTTTCCACATTCGTAATCTGGCAGAGTACAGTCTTTGTTGCAGGGGCGTGTCCAATGGGTTCCCTGGGATGGCCCCCTGGGATCTTAACGCCAATCCCCTAAACTATCATTGTCGATCTTCCAAGACAGAGGTCAAGACTTGTGTTTCAATCAACTTATTGTTGGAAAAGACTGTCAGTAGCTTTTGTGTTATTTCAAAGTATCAAATCTCTAGTCGAAGATTTTTTTCAGTTCTTTAGTGAATTATGGAGAAATATCTACTTTTCTAGTCCTTAAAGAATCAAGATTGAAAAAGAAGCACTAAAGATTAAGAAGTAACCATTCTATTTTGCTGTATTGTTAAACTAAAACTTGGGAATATTGGTATGTACACTCACAGTGTGTCCAAAAAAAAAAAGTGCTCTAAATACCAAATGCATATTAATAAGGTATTTTAAAAGGAGCCCTAATGGGGATTCAGTCTCTATTGCAGCCAGCCTCAAGTGGACACTTAACTATAGTTCTTTGCACCTCTGCATTGGCTTCCATATTTTAACACCTGAGGTTGCCACTTGGTATGCACACACTACTTCATGCCCATCCACCCCCTTCCTGCATAAGTCAGAGCCCCAGTCTTAGCCATCCCACACTAATCAGAAAAGTCTGGATATGCCCCTTCTTGGTTGGCCTCTAGAGCACCACGTATCTCTTTTTGTGTTTCCTCTGATCTCTCATCATCTCTCGGGCCTTACATCAAGAGCCTTGGATTTATCGATCAATGGTCATAAACAAAACATAGATTGAACTGGACACTGGGGCACAACAAATGGATTACCAGGTTGTTGTTTTTTTGGTCACTTGAGCCTCAAGCTCAAGCTGGGAAAGGACATTGGACAACAGAAGTGGAAGCACACAAAGCAGATGGCAACAAAGATGTGTCAGACGCCCTGTGAAAGGATGATAGAAATAGACTCGGAGTGACAATTAGAAGAATATGGTGTGTGAACGTGCATGTGTGTGCATAATATAAATGGATGAAAGCAGACTCAGATGTGTAATCCAATTGTATTGGCAAGGTATTGCGTGTTATACCAGTCAATCCAATTATGAAAGCTTGACGACATGGTGAAGTGAAAGAGCTTCTGAGACAATTACTGTGTGTGTATATGTTTGCTTACACTCTGATGTTCTAATGATTTTGATGGCATATCTGCATACACTAGCGTGTGGTTGGTTGCACATGTGAGCACACAATATTTTCATGTCACTGTGACCACACACCTGACAGCTGTGCATATTTCACAGGGTGGGGAACCCTGCATTGCAGTGCTGGTGCATGGTGGTCATGCTCTTTATGTGAGAGCAGCGCAGGGTCAGACTAGAAGAGGAGAGTTAATGCGCCATTTTTGCGCCCATTTTTTTCACCGTTCAGCTTCTCGGTAATTTGACATATTATAATCCTTACCTCTGGAAGTTATTTTTCTGTTTACAAAAGAAGGACCAGGGAAGTCACTATGTTACTGAATCTGACCTGCTTCATTTTAAACAAAAAAAATAAATACAGGAAGCCTGTAGAAATGTTTAAGATGTTTAAATGCCATTTTCTCTCTGATATGGATTCTGACACCAATTGGCCAATACTAAGTAAAGCTACCATTCTAGTGTGATTATAAAAATTGCCAAATGCCATTTCACTGGCTTTCACTTATATTACACGCTTTGCTAGCAGTGCACCATATAATGTGATTTTTATGATTTTCTAACTTACAGTAGCGTAAAGAGTAGATTTTTACTTTATGTATTAATAATATTAATAAATATGATTAATATATTAAATATTATTTATTAATAATATTAATAAATAAAGCATAATAATATTATGTAATATTAAAGCATGTCAATGCAGTCAGTAAAATCTGTGTTACCTCCATTTCTATTTTAATTCAGTTTGATGTCAGGAACCATCAACCCAAAAATCCATAGTTTAGACAAAGTCAGAAATGAAGGTTAGTTTTTCTTTGCACTACTCTTACTTTAGGCCAAAGAGTTTCAGAAATCAACGTGGAAAAATCCTTCTTCTCCTATTTGTAGAAAGTGGTCATCTAAAAACAAAGAAATTTAAATATACTTGAAAACCATGAAAGCGTCTATGTGCAACAGCAAATTAAAGAAATTAATAAAATAAGTAATGTTCCTGTGTGTATAAGCTGAATTTGCCTAAAGGATGGTTGGAAGAGTGAGAGGAATTACTTTTATATTCATACTTGCTGTTCAATTGTGACTAAATCTGTGTTTCTGTATTTTTCTCTGTCTCCAGCTGTGGCCCCCACGCTTCCTAGTCTACATTCAGAGGTCTTTAAACCGTGTGTAGACGACAAGGACCTGGCGTTTTGTCTAAATGAGGGAGAGTGCTCTATCATTGAAACTGTGGCTGGGGTTCACAGACATTGCAGGTGAGTGCACTGATCCTTATTTGTGTGTGTGTGTGTGTGTGTGTGTGTGTGTGTGTGTGTGTGTGTGTGTGTGTGTGTGTGTGTGTGTGTGTGTGTGTGTGTGTGGCATGTGTGTGTGTGTGTGTGTGTGTGTGTGTGTGTGTGTGTGCGCGTGTGTAAGGCGTTTGGTTTCTCTTTCAGCATTGACGTTTCCTCGCTTTGCCCTTCTCTTCAATCCCTGACCTTGGGGTCATTTTCATTCAAGTTGTTTCTTTTTCCTCTCAAGGCTGACAGACTGCCTCTTTAGGCTGATGAAACACAGGAAAATGGTTTTGCAAATGCACCTTGAATGCACCGAAATCAATAATAACCGACACCACTAACCGAGGAATCAGAGATGCTTTTTTTTACATTGGATGCAGCTTATTCTCATTTTCACACAAAATCAAAGGAAAGCAAACTAGCAAGAACATAGAGAGCAAATTGTGATCTAACTAAGACTTTAATGTAGCCTGACAAATATTTAGTCAAAATGAAATGTAATGAAACGGCATTCCTTTATGTGTAAACCTTGGCATTAATGTTGTGTGATATGACCTCTTTGGAATGAGGCTCATTCTAATGCTACGTGTAAAGAAGGGCTTTCATAAGGTTCTTCTGTTATCTAACTTAAAAGAAGCTGATATTTTATAACACTTTCCTTTTTCCTTTTCTTTATTTTCTCTTTGTTTCACCCAAGTAGTCGCTCAAGGCCTGATTGCCAAACAAAAGAGATAGATGGGACCACTTTAAGTTTACTCTTATCTGACTGACACAGCAAATAGTGTGGAGGGCTAAACTAAAATGTTGTCAATATCCAAGATAAAATGTATTGAAGCAACCAATCTAATCCCTTTTGATGCATTAGACAAACCTATTTGCTTGCTTTTGCAAGCCTTTATCTGTCATGCCAGCTTGTTAGGTTACTTTATTGTTGTGATAAAGGGAAGGCACACTTTTATAAAACTTAAATCAGAAAGTGATTTGCAGTGGGAGTCAAAAAGTCAAAGAGTTATATTTATGGATATTAAATGGTATAAAATATGCTTATATGCTTTTTAGTAGCAACTTTGCCTTCTGGTATGCTAACTATTTTATATATATACCTGATTTTTGCAAGTAAGCCAATTCAAAGTACTGATACCATAGATAGATACCATAGTATCTGATCTGCAGCGTTAGTGTCTAAAAACTGACAGATTTACATTACTAACCCTGTATTGATGTGATATGATTGATTTTTAACCTAAAAACAAGCAGAGCAACTGTGACAATTTAGCTAGCTACCAGACTAGAGCAGCCTTCTGTGGTTGAGTGTTGGACAAAATCGTAATTTAATGTGAACTACTTCAGTTAATGTTGAACATTGAACAGTGGGGAATCCAAACCTAAAAAAAATAAAAAAAATAACCAAGATACAAGCTAAGCTAGCTTTAGCCACAGCCCCTCCGTATTGTATGTGCTGTGTCATTGGAGTGACACTAATCTAGTTAGTGTAGTTGTGACTAGAGTTATCTTCTCTCTAGCACCACTCTGTTGTTCATTTATTATCATATGATATAATACCTGAAATGAATTCTTCTTCACTGCTCTAAAAAAGTAGTTTTCTGTACTTTTTCTGTGCTTGCTACTATTTAAAAAGATGACTTTTTGTCTTAGCTTGTGAATTATGCTATCTTTCAGATACAGTCATACTTGCTGATGCCTTATTGGGCACTTTAGGTTGTAATAGAAGCATTTTCCAGACTAGAATTGGTACCAACCATTGTTTGAAGTGTACTAAAATAAAAATAAAAACACGCACACACACACACGCACACATGCACGCACACACACACACACGCGCACACACACACACACACACACACACACACACACACACACACACACACACACACACACACACACACACACACACACACACGAAACAGTATGCTATAATATGAATATAAACATATGCATTGCATATTTATGAACATATACATGCAAATATAGAGAAAAGTGTGGGTCCATGGTATAGGCCTTTGAGTTATTTGTATGTTCCTGCATGTCCCCCTTTTGAAGCCTTCTGTATCTCCTCTTCTTTCTGCAATAACATTTGTATCCCTTTAAAAATACATCACTTTAAAAATACATGATAAGACATTTTCTCGGAGGGAAGAGTTGTGCTGAATGGTGCTGAATTGAAAAACAGCTCATTAGTATACCTACCTGGAATTAAAGGGCCCAAATCTTCATCCAAGAGAAAAAAGTGGTGAATTATAAATGAGTGCATGAGCATAAGCAAATCCTCTTAGAAAAGTCAATGTTGGGCAAAAATAGTTGAAAAACAGTCAGGAAATAGTGCACGTAGGCCTTATCGTCTTTTTTCAGTCATAAGGAGGGTTATATGTTAACAGTATAGCAAACAGTTACCTTAACAACTTGTAGTCCAAAATAATGTCATTATTCAAGTATTGTTTGTTTCATAATTCAGAAAACATACAACTTTAGAAGTAACCAGGGAAAATCATATTGTTGTAAATGGCAGGAAGCAACACTCTGATGATATATATTTTTTTAAAACAAGTGTGTTTATTGAGATTTTCTGAAGATAATTTTAGGTAATTTTTATATAATTTTCCTGATTGGAAACTCAAGGTAATACATAGGACTCTTGGTGTAGTTGACATGTCATTTTATGATGGCCAGAAACAAATTGCACCATCCCACCTGTGCAGCAGTAGCATCAAAAAACCCAGAAGACTCGTAGCGGCTCGCTTGAGGGCTATAATTAACGAAGGATGAATGACTGCATATAGAACTCAGGAAGGATTGGAGGGCCTAACCTAGAGGCACTGTCTGCCCATTCCTCTTGAGCTGAGTGCCTGTTGTGTGAAAGAATGATTACAGGTTTGTGAGTACTTTTGTTGAAAGGTTGCTCCCTTTGCTTGGGAGAAGTCCTGAAAAGAAGTGAGTAAAATATGATCATTTTTGCACTATAATCACTATGCTGATGTTGTTTAATACCATAGCTGCTATGGAACTTCATGTGTTAGTAGTTTTAACAGGATAGTAATTGATTGTTTTGAAGATGACTTACTTGCAGCAGCAGATGGATGTTGAAGTCAACATTAAAGGTGCATCAAAACATTGCATACCACTAGGGGGCAGAAAGCACTCCAAAATAACTAAAAAAAACAGCAGAACTGTGGTATTTTCTACTATGACTTGAAGAAATCTTGGGTAATCAAAATTGTGGCACACACGACCAAAAATATCCTTTAGTTTTGTGGGAGCTTTAAACCCTTTGCCTTGATAAACTATTAGCTCAGAATATTGGCTGCCAAATCTATTTTGGCTTCCAACCGAGCCTACAACTTTTCATTCCCTTTTTCTTCTTGACTCTCACTGTAAGATGTAGTATGTTCATCTGAGTTTTTCCATAAAAGCTGGCTGTCAGCCGGAATATTAAACATTCTTAGCCAACAACATTATAAGTAAACCATTAAATAGGATGAAGGATTTTAGTTGCGTAGCATGGTGAGCTAAAGTTAGCACCAGCTTGGCTCATAGCCCCCTGAACCTCACCAAAGAGGTTTAGAGAAACAGTTATTTATAAAGTGAAACTGCTGCATTCAGTGATTTCACTGCTTTTAACTACGGGGTCTGATTGTTTCAGAGAAAAGGAGACCTCTGCAGATAATTTGGCTCTTATTAAAAAAAAAAAAAACTCTTAAACGATAAACACTGAAGGAACCCCTCCCTGATAACAAGCTTAGCATCGAAAAATAAGCTACTGACAGCCAAGCTCGAACATCGGTGTCTGCCAAACAAAAATCCTTGAAGACAGTTTTCTTTTCTTACTTATACTGCTTGTTCAGTGTATGTACCTTTTTTAATTACTTGGGCCATTCTTTTGAGGTCAAGGAGGAGACATGAACGTTAAAACAGAAGAGTCATTTTATAAATTATATGATTCCGGTGTGGTCTGGTTTTGTCAACCAGCTCCAGAGAAAATATGTCTCTTTTTGTTTTGTTAAAGATTCTACTGTCCTCACCAGCCATTTGTTTACTTATTTTTTGGCCATTTCATGCTGAGCATGTAGCAGATAGTCAGCTTGTGTGCTGAAAATGGCTGCCCACAATTTTAGTTTTTGGGGAATCAACCATATGGACTGACAAAAACCCAAACAATGAGTGAGAGCTGCAAATAATAGAGTTGCTGATGTGCCACTCCTATATACCTACTGCACAGTATTTATCTCTATTCTTCTTCCTGTCTGAGATACTCTTCAAGTATAATGTCACTGCACATTTCTGGATACAAGTACAATGGAAAAAGTTGTGAGTTGAAGAAATAAAAGTCAGATGATTAAACTCAGGTTTCTGGTGCTGGAGATACTGTTGATCAATCATCGCTCCAAGCAATGCCAGAGCAGCGTCCTCATGACAATAAGTGCGGATCTCCTACTGTCTGCTTTAAAGTAAAGAAAAGTCAAGCTTTTTCTTAAGATTTCTCTTCTGACGTCATCTTCTCCTCCAGGCCATGCAGTAAAGAGCATAATAGATGGCTGGATGTTTTCCAGCATTAGACATGTCGAGTTGTCAGAACAATCTTTAAACACTTGGATCGTTGGATGAGAACACAGTTTAGAAGTTGGGAATCAATGTATTTTGTTATGAAACATTTCCTTCCTTCTTTCTGCATCCCCCCTCCCCTTCCCTCCTCTCCCTCCCCTCCCCTCCTCTCCCTCTCTGCCGGATGCTCGTGTTTGCCAATGCTAACAAGGCTCCCAAAATAAACATGCAAATTTGAGTTTAAGACCTACTTCCACATCAGTGCTAGGGCTCCTTTATACTCGAAGTACAAATGTAGAAAAAGTCAAAGGCTTTGTAGGGAGTGGTGCTAAACATATGACTGTAGCGTGTAAATATTTTCTCTCCATGGATAATGATAGTAGGAATTAGTTAATTCTCCATCATGGAAGCTTAAACCCAGC